GTTCCATTATTACAATCAATATTTTCACAATAATTTATTTCTACAAAAAAAAAAGGTGATAATAACTTGTTATCCACAATTCAAACTAGTCATCAGAACTTTGTATAAAGCAAACATTAAACTCACCAATTTCGCAGAATTCACCTGTGAACCCAATTTCACATATGAACGAAAAGTTACCATTTGCCGAATGGCACATTCCATTATTACATTTAATAATTTCACAATAATTTATTTCTGCAGAATATAATGGAATAAAAAACATATAGGCATATGTGTTAATGAACTTGTGATCCACAACTCAAACTGATCATCAGAACTTTGTATAAAGTAAATGTTATGTTAAACTCACCAATGTCACAGAATTCACCTTCAAACCCAATGTCACATGTGCAAGAGAAGTTACCATTTGCCGAATGACAAATTCCATTATTACAATCAATATTTTCACAATAATTTATTTCTGCAAACCAAAATAGAAAAAGCATAAATTTAATAATAAGATTTTGGTCCACAATCGAAACTGATCATCAAAACTTTTTATTTCTACAATATAAGATAGAAAAAAAAACAGGTGTTAATAAGCTTGTTGTCCACAATTTTAACCAATCATCAGACTTTGTATAACGCAAACGTTTTATTAAACTCACCGATTTCGCAGAATTCACCTTCGAAACCAATGTCACATGTGCACGAAAAGTTACCATTTGCCAAATGACACGTTCCATTATTACAATTAATGTTTTCACAATAATTTATTTCTAGAAAATATAATACAAAAAACATATATTTGTTAATGAGCTTTTGATCCAAAATTCAAATTGAATATTATAACTTTTGTATAAAGCACACGTTTTATTAAACTCACCAACGTCACAGAATTCACCTTCAAACCCAATGTCACATGTGCACGAACAGTTACCATTTGCCGATTGACACGTTCCATTATGACAACTGATATTTTCACAATAATCTATTGCTAAAATAAAAGTAGAGATCAGGTGATTTTAGTTTTAGTTGCTATATTCGGCAAGTACCAATATGCAAATACAGTATATAGAAATGTAGAGACACATATATACAAATGTAGAGAAGTAAGGTTAATACGACAATCAATTTTCTCTTAGTCATATAGCCTGGCCATTATCACCATAACATCATAATTATCATCATCCCCACCAACATCACCACCAACATCATCATAGTAGTCATTATTATTATCAACATAATCATGCTATATTTTGTGAAATGGGTGCTTCTAAATTGCTATATCACTGCTATTACAAGCTGTAGCTTATGACCAGCTATATCATAATTTCAATCGCTATTTAACATTTAACACTTGGGCCATTCCTGTGGTATTGTGCATATTGTAGTGTTATTCTGAAACGTTTTAACATAAACTGACTAGACTAAACATCAATAGAAATAGGTATACTAAGTTCATAAAACTGAATTTCTTACGGATTGGATACTCATAGATGTATGTTAGACCAATGAGCCCTGATATGTCTCCGCAGCCAACATCTACAAACTGATTTCTGTCGAGATATGTTCCGGCACAAATACTATCCCGAACGTTCGGGTCCCCTGGGACCCACTTATTAAAAGTCAGTGGAAGAGTAGAGGACCATTTCCAGTTTCCTATAACTGCCCTAGGAGTGTCTGCCGCTCGAGATAAGCCAATGTAGAACTTTTGTTCACTTGCGTATTGGATGTATTCTGTAATTGCCTCTAACTTTTCCAGTGAATGTATGCTGACTAACTGGTAACCTTTCGTATTGCAGTCTTCATTTGCTTGATTCCAAGTCTTGTAGTCTGTATACGTTTCTACTTGTGTAATCTGTATGTTTACGCACGACGTCTCATATCTTAAACCACCGCAACCTGTATGAAAGATATGATATACCAATGTGAAAATAAATTCAACTATTCAATTTAATTTCTTCGCCATAATTATTTCCATTACCATAATAATCACCATCATTACTACCACCATCACTATCATTATCAACGTTATCATCCGCATCCTCATCATTGTCACTATTATCATCATCATCATCATCATTATCAAAATCATCATCATTATCATCATCATCATCATCTTCATCATCATCACAATCACTAGGTTCTCCGCACGTCGCATGGCCGCTACTAAGACTTTTCTCTGGATCCGTCCCTGGTTTGGTATCTTTCATGTCATTTCTAACAGTAAACTAGGTCACAAACGTAATTCCAATATAACTATTCTTACCAAACGCCCCTTGGAACATTAATACCTAGCCAAAACAAAAGAAAAAATGGATAATAAAATCAGATAAATCATGTACGTATAAAATCAGCATAGCCTATTATTTTGGACTGATTATTTTTTTCACTCACGCAAATTTCAATCTAGTTTTTATTATGATTACAATATACAATAAGTCCATTTTAAACGTTATTCGTTAATGTCATCAGTTCGGACATCGGCTGTGATTTCAGTTTTGTGACAAATTATATAAAAAGTAGACGTAGGCCTATATGTCATTCAAATTATTGTTGTATTATATTAATTCATAAACAAAATTATACGGTACAGTGATATATAAAAAATAAAGCTATAATTTTGTTAATAGCTTTATTTAATGAGTGATGATCAGTTATAAAAACTAATATCCACATGCGGAAGCCAGTTCTTGAAGCCATGATCCGGAGTGGGGAAAAACAGTGTTTGATATGTTGTACAACTGATTTGTTCTATGAAACAAAAAGCATATTTGACCAAAAAAATCGGAAGCGATTAAAGAGATACGGTACATATTTTTGAATATTTAAAAATTGGGACGTAACCACCCAATTCTCTCCACCTGGCTGGCCTGAACTGGATTTAGTTTCAATAGCTCCATTCATTGTGTCGTACTCGTCCTTACATACAAGTTTTACCCACCCTTCTCTCATACAGGTACAAAATCAAAGGTATAATTGTGGGTAAAGGGTAAAAATGGTTTAGTGTATTGATGAGACGGAAGTTAATTGACTAGCATGAGGACTATTAGCAGACGATAATTCGACTGTGCAATAATCGTTTTGCTGTATTAAGGCCTATTTCAATTCAATTCAATTTAACTTAATATTATCTATGCAATAATAAAGTAGGTATCGTTGCTATTTTTGTTTTATTGTAACCGGTAAAAGAATTACTATTCAACAATGCAATGTATGATGAATTGTAATGTTAATAGGCCTACAATATTCGTTCACGTCACGATGGACCCATTTTGAAAGTAATTGAAAAGGCCTATAATCGCAAAGTTGTGGGCGTCATCACCGGCAAATTTGTTACTATTAGCTGAGAAAACCTAGTAGGCGTCGCTGCGTCATCGAAAAAGGATGTTAGGCCTATACAATGTGCAAACGTTTGCGACTACTGTACTACAACCCCTTAGAAGTAGGGCCTAGTAATTTTTAATATCCGCTTTCACATAGGTGCTTTATTAATATTATAACAATAATTTAGTAACAATCACAGTTTGTCATGAACATAGGCCTATATCTCTTACTCTGTACGATAATAGCAAAAGATAATCTGCAATGAAGCGGAGAAGACTAGAGGGGGGATAGCCGGCAAAATAAGGTGATGAAGTGATTTTATATTTTTTTCTTTTGCTGAAAAATCTTTAGTGGGGAAAGGACTGGAAGAGGCGACCATTTTTTTGTTGGGTGGGGGAGAGGGGCATGGGGACTAGATGTTCCACTACGTGAGAAAAACATTTGTACGGAATGTTGATATGCATCACGCATAAAAAATACAAATTAAAATAACCACTGTATCATCACTCACTGGTCATATTTAGGTCGTAAAACTTCATACAGACGCCCAATTCTTCCCCCACCTACAATCTCGCCACAGACCACGGAAACATTTATATTTCGCTGGAAATGTTTTACTACGACATTAGATGAAGTTGAAATATGATAGTATGTTGTTGTTGGTAGGCATTCATAAGGTCATTGCGAGCAAACGAGAGTTTGTATTTATGTGCAGTACGTCACATATTGGCTTGGCAAGACTATATATCTTTTAAAAATAATTTGGCCGGTTACGTGCCGACATAAATATACCTTAAAGATGTTGTATATCACATAACAACGTTGGGCCTGATCATTTCTCGCCCGCCAGTTATGACTTCATCGCTGTTGTTAGCCTCTAGTTAATATTTTTATCTTAAGGTGAATTCCTGATTAGGCCAAATAAAATTAATTAATAGTTTCACGGATTTGAAATTATTTTTTGGTGAGGGTATTTAAAATTTGCCTTTTATTATCCTATATATGGTAAACTGGCTAATAAATAGTAAATATAATTCTTTTTGTTGTTGTTTGACACTTTCGGATAGTCATTATTTTTTATTGTCCATGGAAAAATGAATATTGAGTCTGATCAGTGATAAAAATTTCACAGAGAACTTGGCAATGCCATTAATTTAGGCTCTTTTGAATACATTTCAGGAAAAAAAGTTTTTTTTGTTCGTTTTTTTTGTTTGTTTTTTTATCTACTTAATAGACAAAAACAGATTTGTAATCTATGGTTTCTCATTTTGTCACGATCCGCATTATGGGCTCTGAATGGTTGCTTGTTGCTGTATTATTCTATTGAAGGACAATTTCCCCTTCTTCGGTGGTGGTTAAACCATGGTTAAACGTTACAACTGTAATTCTATCCATACTCTGACTAATTTGATTTATTACCACCTCTTCATCTCTGAACTTGAAAAACACGTTTTACTGCTTTGTAGTCATGGTTACCATTCTACGTCTGGAATGCTAAACCTGTTTGTATATGAGTAGGCCTACGTTAAATACGAAATGATGAAAATATTCTCATGAAAAAAATATTAAAGGTTTAGTTGAGTTTTTGTTTTGTTTTTGTTTTTTGTTTTTTTTTGGTTTTTTTTTTCTTTTTTTTTTGCGATAGATATCTAATCAATTGTCCAATTTAAGTTACTTTAAAGGGGATTCAGGACCGGAACGGATCGAGTTGAAGAAATATGATCCAAGGGAAGGGTTGGCGTTTTACCTTTTCCGGAAATGGGATATTCCCCCTGGATGCTGCCGAGATTGCGTGGGGGCGGCGTTGAACACCCTTTCGCCACCACTGGATCCGCCCCCTTTTATATCGTGGCTAAGGACCAAAAAGTAGAAACATACTCAAACACGCGCGTATGTTGGACAACACGTGCGTTTGTGAGACACGCGCGCATTCCTGACACTGTTGTTTTGCTCCCGAAAGATCTATTCGTTTTGACGGCCAGACTAAACAGGAAGCTATCCCATTTCCAATAACACAAGCAAACACTATCAAAGTACAGTATAATCAAAAGATGTTTGGCAGATAAAAATTTATCGCATGCTCAGTTTTAGGGTTTTAATTATTATAATAAACCGTTAAACGGGAAGGTGTTTGGGACTAAAGATCAATGTAGACGAAACAAAAATAAAATACTATCCGGTGTTATGGTTAACGGCTTTCCTCCATTGGTCACCATGATTTGATGATAGAGTTTGCCTACAGTTTTTAAGTCGGAGCCATGGCCCCGTAACTTTATCTACATGGTAACCCTGCCCCTGGTCGCCAGATAGCTATTTTTGGATTTTAGCTAACATTCGATTTCAGACACACATTGTATAATTAATCAATAAATCAATCAATGCTAATAATCAAAATTAGTATAACACTCTATAGAGGAAGTGTAATTTTCTTTGTTTAATTTTTTTAAACACTGACATTGTATAGAAACGTTTTAAAAGTTTAAAATATGATTAAATGAAAAACATGGTATAATTAGGAAGATTCATACGTAGAAGTATCTGAATTATTTTTAAAACTGTTTAATTATTATGGTAATCTTTCTATGTGGTTTTCTTTTAACCCAAAAGATAGGCTTAATACGCTTTTAAAAGTGCTATTTACTATTTCGAAGTGTTACAACCAAACAATAATACAATAAAATATATATAGCTTAAGGCCGGTTTTCCACTTGGCGAATTTATTCGCGCGAATCGACAGCACTGGGTCGCTTTCTGAGCTGTGATTGGTTGCGCATTTTTTTCCTTCGCAAAAAATAAATAAAAATATAAATTGAATGCGTATGTATGAGGGGCATGCCCTTTTAAACTTTTAAAAGTCAAAAGAGTAAAAATAGGTCCATGGTCGACATAATACATCTAGATGAATGTAGTCCAGTTATTTGCCTTCATACAATTGAGCGTTCATAAGGGAATTTTAGCCAGATCATGTAGATGAGCACAATAGACTATAAGGTAAACTCCGGAGGGGAAACAAATTTAACATTTTGTACAACTTATTTAAAGAGATAGACTTTGACTACTTAAAAAATAGGCTACCATCGGGAGCGTGTGTACATGCCCTATAAAAAAAAATTAGTTTACCACCCCCTCCTTCATCACTTTTTTTTTTTCAATCAACATATATATTTTTATTTCAAACTGTCGTTTTTCCATCTTTTTCACTTGAAAAGCTTAGAATTTCTTGCAGATATGTTCTGGTACAACAAAAACATATTTTTTGAATATAAATTTGATTCCACTTCTATGACTTTTTGTATATGAAACTTACTTGTATACTAACTTTACTTGTGAACATCGGTAAAATGGGGGCGGGGTTAGCAAAAAAAAATTAATTAAAAAAAACCTCCCTCATCAGTTTTTGTTCTTTGATAGGGTGATAAACTAATAATTTGTTTATGGGGCTCGATTGTTTGCTAATAAAGTATCCACATTCGGTTATCAGGAAATGTGTGGTGTAGTGATTTTTTAGTGAACATTCTAGGATAGGTGGTCATATATTCAATTTTATCTTTAGCTCATGACTCATTCCATCATTCCTCCATACCAGATTTACACGATCTTACATTTACAGGGTTAACTGTCTAGACAATAACATAGTGTCTAGCCCCCCCCCCCCGAGGGGGCATAGACACAAACATGAGGTAAAAGGTGGTTAATACTTCAATTCTATAATTGCTAAGTACAAGTTCGAATAACGAAAAAAATTCCCTTGTTAATTAATGGACAGTTAAATAATAGATTTCCAATACTCTCTTGTATAGGCCCTTAAACTGACTGACTGAAATCAATTTAAAGATTTTTTTTTGTAGTAAAATGCAAATTAACGAAAACTTTGTTTTCGATCTGTTTCTGTTGGAAGTTAATACTTTTATTAATACGTTTATATAAACAATTTAAAATTTTTATTGGATTTTTTTAGGTTTTCCGATTTTTTTGCAGACAGTACATAGTACATATTTAATGTAAATTTAGCTACCAAGAATCGAGTGTGTATTATTTATTAGTTTACTCATATTATTGTTTCGGACTAAATTTAGGGTCTCAATGCCATAGGATCAGGCCGTATAGGTCAGACCCCCTCCCCCTTTCTCATGGCCCTGACGGTCTCTGGGAGACGCTTTGCCTTCGGCTTTTATATAAGTTGAGGCCCTGCAGACTGTCTTTCACCATGTTTCCCCCTAGCCTAGAGTACGAAAAGACAAGTACCGTAACCAAAGACAGTCTTATCCGTGTATGTTAAACGGATTCAACGAATGAATGTAAGCTGTCTGGGTTGGCTTGGTTGTAATTTTTACGCTAACAAGGTGTAAATGATTGGAGCAGATGAGTTCAAGGTCATTCCCTCATATCATGCCTCACGCGCAAATGATACCATGTAGGAAATGTATTAAGATGATACCTTTAATTTTTAACTTGTCATGTGGATGTATTGGCCAATCGTCTTGGTAAATCTAAAAGTAATAAGATGAGCGTCATTCACTTACCATAAGGATCAAATGCTGCAGGCATATTGAGTTGTAAAAATAAGTTCCCATACTGTTCTTAAAAAATAACCAGCCTACTCGGTGATGCTGCTAGGAACACAGACGACCTGCTACCTGCTGATTCAATTCGCTAAATGACACTTTCATCGGAATTCGGAATCGGTAATGGGTCATTCCGACGACGTGATATGGTGCTTACTTCCGTTAATAGAAGTCTGCCACCTCACATTACAAAATAAGTTGACACACTGGCAATCATTCATCTCCTATGATGTTAAGTAACTCTCTGTATTCAGTAGACTAGGGCCGGATGTAGGTACAGGAAGACGACATGTTAATATACCTATGTACCATTAAGTATAGGCCTATTAAGCTATAGGAAACCGAGTAGGGTCGTTATAATTTTAAATTTTTATTTGATTCTTCAATATCATTGAATTAAAAAAAAAAAGTTGTTCCTATTAACAGTTCATCTATTTTAGGTTTTTGGTAGCATTTCGCCGAATGCAGTGCGTGAATATTCCCGACAGGCAGGACATGACTGAACGAGAATTCAGGAGACCGTACTGCGGGAGAAGGCCTTGAAGCTAGCACATTTTGGCGATTCGAAAATTTGGAGCTCTGCTGGCCGGTTGTTTAACCTGTTGACGACTCACCACGAAGACGATGATAATAATAAAGATAATGATGATAATAATTTTAATGGTAGGCCTAATATTGAGAAAAAAATAACGATATTTATATAAAACAATAATTTCAAGAAAATGTTGTAAAAAAACAAAAAAATGAAAACTGTATGAACATGATGATGGTGATAATAATGATGTTGAGAATGATGATTAGGATGATGGTGATGGTGATGATGATGAGGATAACATTCATGATGATGATAATGATTCATGAAGGTTAAGACGATAATGACGATGAAACGTTTTACAGGCTAAAATAATAAAGATTATTCAAAATTTAAAAAAAAAAGCATATTCAAAATTTTTAAAAAAATACCTCTGTTGTCAAAAAATACATACAAAATACATAAAAGTAGTTAAATGTACTATCGAACATAAGCCACAAAGGCAACAATGATATGAGTAGTCTTTATTTTGTGGTGCTGACCCACATTAAATTACCCGAAGATGTGAGCTTAGGAAGATGTCGCACCAACTGAAAATGTCCGAAGCAAACATTGGCAGCGCTACGGGGCTACAGTCCCCTCCCCACCCCAGGGAGAAAACCACAATTCGTCGGAGAGAAAAAAATATGTGTTTTTTTTTACATATTAATTGACTCCAAATCGATTAATCACATGATTCGAAACCCCTAAGTTGCAATATTTTCGAGGGTTTTTTCCCCCGGACCAATTACGAAAGGTTTTAGTGAGGTTTTAGCGATGCCCGCTTCTTTCTCGTCGGGGAC